AGAAAGTGCCAACTGTGAACAGATATACTTCCAACCAGAACCCCAGCACAGTCATTTCACATGACATACAATATTGACATCCATGGTGAAAAAAGACTATGAGAATTAAGTTATATAACACAGGCATCAGCTTTGAGAAATCTGATAACAGATGAGTAAGATGGGAAAAAATAATGTTTTAATTAGCATCACGAGAAAATGGCAATGCCAAGATATCGTTCTATATAGGAGATAGCCCATTTCCTGAGCTTGCAGAACAGTCAAATTTTCCCTGCACCAAGTGGACAGAGGAAGCCACTGGAAAGGCAGAGGCAATATGGCAACGTCAGTTGAGAAAGTGGATGCTCATGCTGTGATACGGTTCCTGCATTTGCAAGGGAAGTCTGCCAGGGAGATCCATGACCAGATGACTGCTGTGTATCAGGAAGGTGTACCAAGATATGACACAGTGATCAGGTGGAAGAGGCACTTTCACTGTGGACAGACAAACCTTGAAGATGAACCCCAAAGTGGAAGACCATCTCTCACTGAGGAACAAGGAATTGTGGCACAGGTGGAAGCTTTGATCATATCCAATAGGCGCATACCTATCGAAGCTATTGTTCATGAGGTCTGCATCAGCCATGGGTTGGTTTTCAGCATCATCCATGACGAGTCACACATGACAAAAGTCGCTGCGGGTTGGGTGCCATGATTGTTGACACCAGTTCGAAAACAGCAGCTCATGCCGCTCATGATACGATGACACTTGCTGTCAGTTTGGGATATGAAATTATCCCTCATCCACCATATTCACCAGACTTCTTTCTCTTTCCATGGCTAAAGAAGCCACTTTGTGGTAAGCAATTCTGGGACGATGATGTCATTTCTGCAGTGAAGGACTTCCTAAACAGTCAAAAGGAGACCTAAGATCAAGGTATCCACTAGCTAATGCACCGCTGGGGAAAATGTGTGGTCTTGCAGGGGGCATATGCAGAGGACTCACTCACATACAATTTCTTGCACCTGTGTCTCTGTTTCTTCTGGGTGATAATTAAAATTTTTATGACTTCCCCATGTACTGATAGAATACAACGCTGCCTTTGATAGAACTGTCAACTGTCAATATCTGTTCGAGGAACACATGCACATTTTGGACTGAAAATACTAATTGGGCTATACAGTTAGTGATAATTATTTAAATATTTGGACACTTATTCCTCATTATTTTAAAAACAACAATTTTAAGAACAGGCCCACGCTGTTGGCATGTTGATGACATAAGAAAATTGAGCACTTACTGCATATATATCTCAGGAAAAGGAACTCTGATAGAATTTACAGGGTTGCAGAAACTGCTGAGCCTCTAGCAAGCAATATCTTGAAGCAAGGCTGAATGAGTAATGCAAATGGAGATAAAACATATTACAGAATAATTATTTCTAAACAAAAATGATAAGGTAATGCTGAATAATAGGAGTATTTTAATATAATATAATATCTGCACATGTATATAGACTTCACAGTGCCGTTATACCATCATGCCCCACTGCTGTCTGATAAGCGAAATATTAGCCCAGTACACCTGAATTTCCTTACGAGATATGAACGCCAGAAGTGTGTTGAAAACAGAATTTAATAACATTCTAGTGATGATGTAATAAGATAGGTTGGCAACTGACAATGACATACTCTGGTTCATGGAGTAGATGAGCTTTAGTAGTGCTCTAGACAATATATAATCTTCATCACAAAATTATAATCAATTATTACCATTGCTCTTGAAGTACTGGATGAGCCATGGATGCATTATAATCATTTCAATGTGCTGTTCACTATTCTGAACCATGCTTTCAGTTGCTTTACTTATCATTTTCACTGTGTGTATATACACCTCATTAACAGCACAGGCCTACTTCAAATAAGAATCAGATTTTGTCTGAAAGACTTCAGAATAACATACATAGACCTCATGCAAGAACTCGTGGCACTGCACAATGAACTGATTTGAATCCACGTGAATGACTTATCTGGAGCAAGCACTAGAGAGGCATAAATTTCAAGTGAATACTACTTCCTTTTCTATTCAGACTGCTGTCACCCACTACAAACCATACTAATAACATTGAACTGTGTTTCTGTTCTTACTTCAATGTAAACTCTCTTCACTGTTGTCAGTAACCACAGTAAGTTTCACTGTTGCTGAAAGGTTGTATGTATTCATTTATGCCCATCTGTAGATCAACATCTGAATAATACTGCATCGTCTAAGTATGTAGGATATGAGATTCTCACAGCAGTGGTTATACAGAATTCTATCTTCTGGGATATAATGTTGTGTGGTTCATTGAAAGTCAACCAACATTTCACAGGAACATGTTTCTCTGCTTGCCACTGCTTTCATGCTGGTTTCTTATTTGGCTACTCTTCAACCCTGAAGATGCAGGTGACATGCTCCTCCAAAATATCAGCTGACTTTCAACAGGCTACACAGCATTGTATCCCAGAATATATGACTCTTCATCTAAATAGGTGGCAACACAGTTATTCATAGTCAAGGAGGCAAGATTAATTTATAATCTATAGAAATTTATATCAGATGAGGCAAAGAATGGCATAAAAATCCCTTGGAGAAGTGTCAGCTGAAGGGTACTGCCTAACACTGGTTTTTTCCAAGAGAATAACTGAAAGAATTATCAAAATGGAAAAAGATGTTGATACAGGTATGTCAATTTCATTCTCAACACAAGAGAAACCATGTCCAAAAAAAGAAAACGGTTGCAGTGGTAGATAAATCTGACGAGGAAGTCGTCAGAAGATTAATTTATAATTTTCATGCAACAGAAAAACAATGCCCTGCTTTGAATACTTTACTTCCTCTATTCTGTGAAAGCACCAGTTTCAAGAGAGGCAAAATATCTTCAACAATCCTCTGGAAGAAGCTGGAGTTCAGGTACTTAAAATATTATTGTAATGTGCAGTACCACTGCTACAGTTAAATACTGAGTGGCAACAAACAACATTACATTCCAATTACAAAACATTAAAAAACTGTTAAAAGAAAAATTATCCTTCATGCTAAAGACGAGTGGCTGTCAGTGTGTAAACATTCACAAGAAGTGGAAGACATGTACATACAAATTAACACTCTGTGGACAATGCTGTTTAGGAAATGGTAATCAACCTTGAGTCACATGATCCCAGTAAAAGTGAAGAGGGTGAAGATGTCAGTTTGGGGGGAATATTTCTGCTCTTGTCAAATTTAGAGTGATGTAGATCACAGACAGACAAATCCTACATCAATATTCTCAGAAAAGTCAGCAGTACATGATCACAACAGTATCCTCCACTCACATGACCACAGCTGCAGCCATGAGACTCCCACTGCTTCAAAACTCCCCTCTCCAGCTTGCTTTCACAAATTTAGGTGTCATTACTTATCAAACTTTCTCTACCATATGAAACAACATATCCTACACCCCAATCTTGTAGCCTTTCTTCTTCAATTATTTAAGATTCCTGGCTGTCCATGGCCTAACAATTTGTTAATTTACATATTTTACCAACAGCTGATCAGTAAAATTACAACAGCTTTTGAAAAACTTTAAGTCATATAACAATGCAAAACAAGGAGACACAACAAAACTACTTCAGAAACTTCTACATAACAAAGACATATTTCATGATGATAAGATAACTAAAGCAGGTACACTAAACAAGATACCTATAATAGCTTTGACCTGTAAGTACAGAATTCCAACAAAATGAAGACATCTGGGTAGCCTGAATTTCACTACACACAGTTATTTTATTCAGGCAAGTTTCATATGTTCTAATATACTCGTAGAATTGTTACTAATGTTTCTGATGATTTCTTGCTAGACACNGCAGTGACGTAAGACGGCGTGAGGTAACAGCGTTGCTAGGCTATACACAGACACTGTGACGTGGCATGCAACGACGCTGTTGAGGCGGGCAACAGGCAACAGCGAACGGAATAAAAGCCGGCTGAGCAGTAAGCGTGAGGGAGTTGAAATGTGGCAGTCACCGAGTTGAGTTGTTGTCAGTTAAAGTGTATCAGCGGCCAAAGACAGTTCTCCACTCTGCAGTGAATGAGTAAAAGTGTGATAATCAGTGACAGTTTGTGATAATTGAAAATTAATTGGGAGTGTGTGATACAGAGACACTTACATAGCTCCCGTACTGTAAATGTGTAGACTACTGAAAACAGAGTGAATTAATTTGCGAATAGGGTTATAAATCGTGAAACCCCGCAACACTGTAAACAGATTATTGCGATTAGGGTTATAAAGTGTGAAACCCCGCAACAGTGTTATAATTCATTGTAGCCGTTACTTGTAGGTTGTTGAATAAACCAATTAACAATCTGAACGGCGTCTTCAGTAACCCAACACGCCACACTGGTGTCAGAAGTGGGATTATGAACTTACACACGTGACCAACGAGATTCGAACATAAAACAGGCCACATTTGGTGTCAGAAGTGGGATTGGACTTACACACGTGACCTACAAGAGTCAAACTCAAGACACGATACACTGGTGTCAGAAGTGGGATTACGAACTTACACACGTGACCAACGAGATTCGAACATAAAACAGGCCACAATATATACTACCACAGTCAATAAGTTTGCGGAATGACTGCAAAGCGTCGTACAGGAATTTACTGCCAATATGTTTCAGCAATGTTCTTGACAGCTATATCAACATTGACAGACTTGCATAGCAACCAACAGCAACTATTCTGAGGGCCGATGTGGATCTGCGTAAGTATATGTGAATACTTTGTAATATGATGCGATAAAACCACAATCCACAAACTTATTGACTCTACCACATATATAGTATATTTAACAAACAGAATATGATGAATTAGCAGTAAAAACTTAAAAAATGTTAAGTATCATGCATTGATAATTTTCATCATGAACTTAAGAATGAAAACTGGGGTAAAATGTATAAAATTAAAAACTATAGCTTCAATATTCCTAGTATCTACCTGAGACTGGTAGTACTTGAGTCAAATAATGTCATTGTCAAATCGGACAGCTTGCCCTTCTCACTCAGGGTTGTCAGTAACTTCTCTGACAAGTCAGAATGGAAATACACGTCCCCATCCTTAAATGTGAGGCGGCTCCCCAAGATTGTTGGGAACAAAGAAGAATATGATGGTGGCTGTGACTGGTGCTGGGAATTTTCTTGGTCAGTGTTGGAACCAGTGTTCACTGCTACTGTGAGGAAAAAGAAACCAAGCACATAAGATTTGCAGTGCAAATGTCTGCCTACTATTCACCATGTTTTAAGTAAACTTCTGTGTAAATGTATATATTGAAAAATTGGTAAATATCAGAACTGTAACCTGTTGCAGGAGACACTATCAATTACAATCAACCACTGTGACCACAAATTATGAATAGTATGGACCAAATTCATGAACTGATCATATTTTAATTTACCACCTAGGTAGCAAGTATATTCATGCATATACTATTCTAATTCACATACACAAGTTCTGAGGTTATCATGGCAGTAACTAATCAGACTGTGGTCCAGTGAATGATGCCACTGTGTTGTCTTGGAGGCAGGTACTGGCTTTCAGAAGAACAACAGTATCTGCCTACAAAACTACAAGGTGTCACAACCCAAGAGAACACAATCTTATCTAGTTCATCATATTAGGCTGGGTAAAGCAGAAAAGTTAAACATTTACGCCTCCTGCCAAATTTAACATATGCAAAATGGTACTTCTTCTTCATTAACATTCACAGACTAGGCCCTCTACTCTGTTCCAATTCAGAATTAACATCTGAAGTTATGACTCTTATGTACAGCTGCTAGGATTTCTTGGATCGGGGACTAACTCACTGCAAGGTGACTACCAACAAAGGGAAAAATAGCCACAGAGTAGCGGCTCCAGTCTAGAAAACCGATATTAACAGCCGTGGAGATCCATTGCACTGACCACGTGACACCCTCCACCCGCAAAAGTTGGCACTAACTTCACCAACAAGTGGCAGTTGCTTGGTCGGCATAGTTCACTTCCACACTATAGGCCACGGAGTACAGTACTGTACAAATACTCATTATGTAACCCGTAATGGACTACTTACAATGAAATTGGAGGTACTCATCAAGTAAACTGAAGGTATATACCCTCCCCAGTCTTCTGTCTCATTGCTATGAAAGACTTTAAAAAAAAAAAAAAGAATAAGAGGGAATGGGACTTACAAAGAGACTCAAGGATACAGATTTGCTGAAGATACACGTTTCCTTTTCCATTGTTTTGCTGAGAACCAATCAAACTCTTAGACCTCCAAGAAGGAATAAACAATATATATATGAAGATTAACCAAAGCAGAAGACATACAATTTAATAGTCCTGAAGCTGAAAATACTGAGATGAAGAATTTGCATATTTTGGCAGTGTGGTGACAAAAGATGAAGAAACTTATGAAGATAGTAAAAGCCACATAAAATAATTAAATGCAGCTTTTATCCATTTATGGACAACATTCTATTTTGGGGGGAAAAGAACAGGTGAAGATTTTTTAAGAAGTAACTTTCTTAAATGCCTGTGAATCATGGAAGACAAGTCACGTACTTGACCACAAATTACAAATATCTGTAAACCAAGCTTCAGAGGAATTCTAATATGTCATGGACAAAAGTGATCTCCAACAAAGAGCTATGGAGTAAGAGGACAGAAAAAAACTATGGTCAACAAAAAATTAAATAATGACGGGCTGAATATACACTGAGGAACAGAAAAGAATCAGTATAAAGAGATGCAATGGACAGGCATTCTCAAGGAAGTAAAAGTAGAGGAAGGCCTAGAAGAGCTCACAACAGACTAATTTAAGAGGTACCTACAGAAGAACTGAAACTGGAACAACATTAAGAAATTATCACATAAAATGTTCCAATGGGAGCACTTCTGAGGATACCTCTCATTCTCCTAGGAGCAACGGGGAGGAGGAGACCAGGAAGGGGGAGAGTAACGACAATGTCAATGGTCTTTTATTCTTGGGACAGGGAAGTGACCACAATGCATTACTGTTAAGACATTCTGAGACTTCCACTAAAGACTGGTCCTCATGTTCATTCTATATGTAGAGCAAATATTGTTTTTAATGTACACAGTAAAACTGTGAAAGATGTATGACTCAAGTAGCAGCACATGCTCTACAGCACTTTTTCTCGGTACAAGGAAGAAAGAGGACAGCCTCAAATATCTTGATCAGGATCTCGATGTCAAAGGTACTATCTTGATGTCATTCTCTGAAGCCTTCTCTGTTCTCCATGAAATGCACCCTTACTATTTTTTATACAGAATGATCATTTGAATAAAAGTTTGGTTTTCTCTGCTATGCATAAACATTTCATAAATTGCCAAATTCCTGCTCAGTGAACTATAGTCATAGTGAAAGTGCAACATCATCATGTAGTGAAGTTTGCAAACATGTGTTACAGGAGCTGCACTAAATGTTCAGCTTGGGTACATTCTCAACACTTTCTAACGGATTCTCATGCATACTGCAGTTGTTCTTTGGGTTTAAAGGACACATCAAGTTGCATATTTTCTCTGACTTTGAACATTTTTCTGTGCTTCAGAACGTGTTATATTGTGTGGTCATGGGTCCATCCAAATGAAACCAATATAATCAGACTGCAAGTGAAACTCTGGGGCAGTTATACAGAATCCATTTTCCAGATTCAAATGTAATTACCATATTACTTCAAATACGACACATTTTACACAGTTTTTCTTGTCAGAAAATTGAGGAATGTCTTAAGTTTGAGGAATGTTCAGCTTTTTATTTTTTTCCTTAAAACCCACATTCAAAAACTGGATGTGTCTTAAATTCAAGAGCATCTTATGTTCAAAGTAATATGGTATGAATTAGTGATTGGGCATGGTGCAATCACACCTGGAATGCAGATATACAAAATGAACATGGAGGACTGGAACCTGACCAGTAGGTTAAACAATCAATCAATCAATCAATACAAAGTAAGATGGACAATATGGGTACTTCTGAACACATAAAATTGCAATGAGGGACAGAGCACTTATATTCACACCTATGTTACCTACATTTGTCAGGCATAGGGACATAGTCGTAAAAGCTGCAAAAGTGGCAATTATACCAGAACAAAGTATAGATGACAAAACTGAGGTTAAAGCATATTTCTGTATCAGTCTACTACCATTCTCACTGAAGACAACAGAGAACCTGGTACAGATTACTGCCATCAATAACACTGCATTCTCAAGCAAAGGACCTTCATAACTGTCTAACATTTTCAAACACACTGTGTTCCAACATAATACTGTTCCTTAATAAAATACAAAATAACTTGCTACAGGTGTCAATATTGTTCATCATACATCATTAGTGACTAACTCAGCATCACTTAAATCTATGAGAAATTCTTGCAGAAATAGCAAAATTGGCATAGTATTATAATGATCACACGACAATAATTTTACCATCACTCCATGCTGTACAGTTCCATTCAGTGTCCTGGAAAAACTTTGCATTCATACACTATATCACAAATCTTCGTTGCTTTGCCCATACAAGCTGCTTAAAAAGAGTGCAGATGATGAAATGGGCACCCCATACCAAAGGTAAAAAGGTACAGCTATCCCTGTTACAGGCTTTGGTGGCACAGAGGGTTGCAAGGTGTTGAGGCTCCCACATTTTCTAGACAATCAGCTCACAGATGGCAGTGGGGGTTATCAGCCTTATGTGCCGGCCACCCTTTATCCCCCCCAACCAGGAAGATTCCTGGTATTCATTTTTGTTAGAGGCTGTGTCACCCCCATGGCCACAGTGCAGTTGGAAGGATTGGGGAAAAATAAAAATCCAGTGACCTCATCAGGGTTCAAACCCACGACCTTCTGGCTTGTAGCACTGTTCCTCAACCAACTACGCTACTACATCCCTCTCCCCTACTAAAGCTGATCTAATCCACTTCAAACCCATCTAATCGAACTACAATAGGTAGGTATACAATTCACGATCAAAACATAACCTGGTACGGTGGCGAACCTGCACCATATCATGAAAAGTTTCGTCTAGTGTGACTAGTGAAGATTTCCCATAATAATTAGCACCTTAACACCGAAAAATACCTGAGGATGTCTGCTGGAACACTGGTGTAACCTCGCACAAAGCCTCCAGATTTTCACATATGAAGTCCACACAGGCTTCTTGTAGCGATCTGGGAGAATCATACATTTTGCAGAATTATTTCGGAAGTTATGCTAATGACTTTACGACTTGGGATATAGACTGCTTTTTATCAAGTCATATGACGGCCTTCTTCTGTAGACTTCAAAAAGTACATGTTTCTATAGATTCTTCTCAATAGTTCCACAGGACAGTAATTTCCGTTTTCACATCTTCTTTCTCAGACTAACACTCACAGAATTATCCCCGAATTCTTTTGAAAATTTCATCTGCTGCCTGAAACACAACAGCAATTCGGTGAATTGAAAACTGCCGACTATTAAATTCGTAGTAAAAGTACTTAATCCGAAGACAAAATGCTCCAGAAAATGGGTTACGATCTTTTAAGACTATATAATAACCCCTCCTCAACTGCAAGTAATCAGGTTACTTCTGTATTGGCAGTACACAAAACTGGCAAAAGAAATGAAAAACCTATTAGTGGTATCGAAAATTACACAAACTTCTCCACATTCATTAATAGTCCTATCATCATTATATAATCTCGATACTGTCAACGTCATTAAATAACCATCTTAATATATAACCAAGTAATCACGCACGTTTTACAAATAACACACATTTTTTGCCTTAGCACTTCCTAATTGAGCTTCCATGGTGATTCTCATACCAAAGATTATTAACGTAATTTCTTTCACTCCTCTTCAAAAAAAATCGTAAAAAAGGAAAGATAGAAAGAATAAACATCATGATAAATGTAAAATATAAATTACTATACCCCAAAACGAAAACACACAAAAGAATTTTGTAAATTTGTTCTGATGAGCGAAACCTATACCTGGATGATCTTGACATAAGGCGCAACTGAAAATAGATTACATTAGTGAATAAATATTTCAAGTACATAAATTTTATCAAATATAATTAAGCCAGAATTAACCCTTGATTCCTACATTTACTTTCAGCTCTCACCTAATTTCCTTTCAATAACAATCCTTCTCGCATAAACATGATAGATTTCACTCACACTCGCAGGCAAGTGCAATCGAGTGCGATACTATTACGGCGATTACGGCAATATCTTTGCCTAATTAGGTTCCGAATGAAATTTACGACAGGTCAGTGTTCATTCAGTATCTAAGATTCAAAAACATGAAGCAGAGAAACTCTTTCCATTTATGTTTCAATGTTTTAACCTACAGTTTTCGAATTTTTTAATACTGCTATGTTTATAATTCTTTCCATTTATACTTACATTTTAAGGATAAATAGTTATTCGCTGTTTTTATGTGAGAATACAGAATTGCTTTCTATTTCTATTTACTTTATCATTATTATCATTATCATTTATTTACATGTCAAAAATTCTTTACAATCCTTTTACTAATTTCCGTGCTACCAGCTAATGCGTTTACATATATGTAAAACGATACAATTTACACATTACAATAATAATGGATTTGAAATTATATAACATTTAAAATAATACAGAACTAATGCCAAATATAACATGGATACTAATGTAATTGCGTGCTTGAATTTCGTGAAAGTGTCAGGTAATTTGTAACGAAAGTTTACTACATTCTAAAAGGTTACAACTATTATTTACTTATGAGCTCTCCAAACCATCAAACTACGTAACGCTATAACCCAGAGGCCCGTACTCTTTGCAGTTATCACGGTTATCACCGTTATCACCACGTGAACTTCTTCTCCACACATTTTGTCAAAGTAATGAAATAGTCATGTCTCTGTACATGTCTTAGTGATCCGTGGTGCAGCAACTTACACTCATTCCTGTTTCACAACTCTCCTGATTGTTGTGTAAAGTATTTGGATGCTTTCTACTAATAAGGGAACACAGATGGTTACAGTCTTATGCGTATAATTAATTTGTGTTGTATTAAAACTTTTTCCATCTGTTGTTGGAACGAAAGATTATATGTAATCCAACGTTTGCCAAATGATGCAGTAATTATACACTGTGTAATCAATGCTACTGATGTGAGTTACAAGTGAACTCGTATAAATTGGTCACGTGATATATGATGTCAGAATACATGGCGACTGGCTGAGCAGTGCAAAATCATTGAACTTGGTAAATTTGAAACATCGAACCCCCTTAATTTGTGTACACATTTTCAGCAGAGAAGAATTTCGTTTATAAAAATGATTATTACATTGAAAAACTTGCAACAACAGACATTTCAAGTTGAAATAGACGCCAGTGAAACGGTAAGTAACCGTCCTCAAGCCCCACTCATTGGCGACAACAAATGAATTTTCACGTGTTTGGGTAGTGATAATTATGTGTAATGAAATATTGAAATGTGGATATATATTCTTTCCAATGCATGTAGTATTCTTCTATAGTTATTCATTTTATTTGTTCCTTGTGCAGGTGAAACATTTAAAAGAAAAAATAGAAGAAGAAAAAGGGAAAGAGTATCCAGCGGAAAATCAAAGGCTAATATATGCAGGTAAATTATTGGTACAAAACATTAGAAGAATTTTGAGTGACAAAAGTTTATTGTTAAGTTATGTTAGCTGACTAGGCGTTAATACTTGCTTTGCAGGGAAAATCCTTACAGACGAAAGTGTTCTTAGTGAATACAACATTGATGAGAAGAAATTTATTGTTGTTATGGTAACAAAACCTAAAAGTACACCAGCGCCGTATGCAGGTCCAAGTGATCCAACAGCTGCACCTCAGCAATCTGAAGAAGAGAAGCAACAAGAGGAAAGCACAAAGGTCACAGAGAGGTTAGTTTAGGTTATGTTCTCCACCTAGTGATAACACATTGGGTTTCTAATATGTAACATGCATTAAGGTATTTTATAACTGCAGTATAGTCTCCATGATAGCTTTTGGTAAGATGAGATTCATACAAATATATCGTGATTTATCACTTTAAATGTACATATATCAAATTTTGTAATTCAGTATTTCAGCATCCTGTTGTAATTTTTTAACTTAACGTCCATTATTTATCGTCAATATTGCAACAATCGTTTATTCACCATTTAATCTTAATTTTAGTTTAACATTTTACATTTTGACACCACATGTTTCGACCCCAAACAGCCATTTTCAGGTGTCTTGATATGTTACAAATATTTTACTAAATTATGTTAAAACTGCTACACTGTATTAGTTCTTGTTAAAATCACATGCTGTAGTTCTCTTTTCAAGGTAAAACAAGATAAAATCCATTAAAATTTCATTTCTGAACACCATTCAAAATATAATACGTAATAACAAGAATGACATAAATTTAACCAGCAACATCCCCCCCCCCAGAAAAAACTAAAACAAACAAAATACATATGCAGACTCACAGCAACAAAAAACAAAGTGAGTTTCACAGCAACAAAAAGCAGAGTGGGTTGCCTTCACGTACAGTGGTAAGGAAGTAAGAGCAATCACAAAACTTTTTAAAGACGCAGAAATAAAAGTGGCCTTCCGTACGCGGAACACAATACAAAACATACTAAAGCCACAGCCACAAATTGATAACTATAATAGAAGTTGAATTTATCAAATGAAATGTCTAGATTGCTCTTTAAAATATGTCGGACACACAGGAAGAACATTCAAGACCAGATATAGAGAACACATTCACGACAAAAAAAAGTAACAATAGTAAATCCAGATATTCGAGTCATATATTGAACACTGGACATGCATACAGCACAATAGCAGCAGACACCATGGAAACCATAACAACGGGAAAAAGGAAAACATCTAAATATGCTGGAGAAATACCATATTTACAAAACCAGTAAGAAAGTTTTACATATGAATGGCACCAACATCGACACACGCAATCCTATATTTGAAGTACTATACAAAATTACACAACATAACACTATACCGTCCCCCATCTCTCCCTACTCCTCACAACCAGGGCATATAAATACAGGAACAAACACACCACATCCTCACTCGTAAAGACAACACCACACGCTGTGGAGGAAACACGCAAATCAGGGGCATATGAGTATAAAGTAAGCAAACATAACATAATAACAATAGCAAACAATTAGAAAACAACCTTAACCTAGGGATCTTATAAATTACAGATTGCAGACATAACTGAAAAGTAGGCTATGAACGTGAGGGGCAAGCTGCCAGAACAAAACCTAGGACAGTCATACATTTATGAACAATGGGCGACACCTGTGAGGTGAAATAGAAGGCACCAAAATAACATGGGGATCATAGAAATTTTAATGGATTTTATCTTTTTTACCTTTAAAAGAGAACTACAGTGTGTGATTTTAACACGAACTAATACAGTATAGCAGTTTTAACATAATTTAATAAAATATTTGTAACATATCAAGACACCCGAAGATGGCTGTTTGGGGCTGAAACATGTGTCAATGTGTAAAATGTTAAACAAAAGTTAAGATTAAGTGGTGAATAAACAAGTGTTGAAATATTGGCAGATGATAAATAATGGATGTTAAATCAAATTTTGTCTTTAGATAACCACTGTTGCTTATGTTGAGCATAGTGTAAAAGTGATCTGCTCTTGATACAGAGTGGAATTTACATAAAATATTTCATGATTTAAAATTTCCTGTTTTATGTTTCAATTTATTTTCTAGCAGTTTCTTCCATTTATACTTCTCTCCAGTTTAGTGTCAGCACACATCAGCAAAGAAATTGTTAAACTGGGATATCTTACTGAAGATTTTTTAATACGGCAAAGTTTACTAACCACAGCCAGTTATTATTAATGTTGTGTTATTCCCTCATACTATTTAAAAAATATTCCCCCCATTTTAATTTAGTATTGAATTTCATATCCCACAGTACTTACTACACTCAGTTTCGTCACCCTTTTTGTGAACTGGTACAAAAATAGACTCCTTCCACTGATTATCATGGGACATCACTGCCATCAACTTCATACAGAATTTTATCCAATATTCTCTCAAGGTTAAATCTATACATAGATGAAATTATTGGGGATCATCAGTGTTGGTTTCAATGTAACAGATCACCTACTGATCAGATCTTTTGCATTCATCAGATACTGGAGAAAAAATGGCAGTACAGTGAGACAGTACATCATCTATTGACAGTGCTTGAGGTGAAATGAAAATAGAACTGGGATGGTTTTCACCTTTTAATTCATAGGCATTTACTGCCAAAGAAGTAACGGGATGCTTTTAAGCCATTTAGAAAAGAACCGGGATACCATTCTGCCGCATCCCGCCCCACCTCAAGCCCTGTTATATAGTCAAGATTCACATAAATGCCCAACCAGCCAACTACAATCTTTCTGGACACAAAACTTTTCTCAGCATTCTATGAATATTCTCTGCCAGCTTTCAGCATCAAAGATATGTATTATTGTATGTTGTTCCTGAAGGTTCTATCTTATAGGATATAATACTGTGTAGTCTCTTGAAAGTCAACCAGCATTACTTACTGAGCCTGTTTACCTTGAGATCATCAGAATGATCTCAGCAAATCTGTTCCGGACCTTGCCGCCCAGTGNTTCATACGCAAACAAATAAATAACATCTTCCTTAGGTTTGTATATGAGACCGAGCATTTTAATGGTGTTGGAGAGTTATTGGAAATATTAGCAAGCATTATCAACGGCTTTGCTCTACCGCTGAAGTCAGAACACAAGCAATTCCTCATAAAGGTTCAGCAGCCACTGCACAAAGTTAAATGTCTCTCATTGTACCATGCACAGCTGACATACTGTGTGCTTCAGTTCCTTGAAAAGGATGCCACGCTAACTGAAACTGTTGTTAAAGGGCTACTCAAGTTCTGGCCTAAAACGTGCAGTCAGAAAGAGGTCATGTTCCTTCGTGAGATTGGAGAACTTTTAGATGTAATTGAACCATCACAGTTTGCCAAAATTCAGGAACCGTTGTTCAAACAAATTTCAAGATGTGTCTCTAGTCCTCACTTTCAGGTGGCCTGTTGTGCACTGTACTTATGGAGTAATGAGTACATAATGAGCCTGACTGAGGAAAACAGCCATGTGATCATGCCAATAATGTTCCCAGCTCTGTACCGCATCAGCAAAGAGCACTGGAACCAAACAATTGTGGCTCTTGTATACAACGTGCTCAAAACCTTCATGGAGATGAACAGTAAGCTTTTTGATGAGCTCACAGCTAAGGCTGAGAGACAAAATGTGTGACTAGCAGTGTACTGTGAGGGCAGAGAGAAGAAAGTTCTTGTGTGCAGAGTGGGCAGTGTGCGCCGACAGAAGATAGTGGTTGAACTGGACAGAGAGACGGACAGTTCTACATTCAGATAGTAATAAGGTGACATCAGAAGGATATCACCTCGAGGTCTTATTCATGACATTTTTGGTGCCGAAACCCAGGAAGTGGGATACATATGATACAACTCGATATGGCGGACGCCGAACTTGGAAGACTAACGAGGAAGCACCCCACAGTAAGGGCAAAAGTGACAAAGTTCAGTACCTCTATAAGGAAATCCACTGCCACCACCCCACTTGAGGATTATGAGTACTACCAAGACCATTTACAGGAGACCCTGGATCAACTACAAAGTGACAAAGTTCAGTACCTCTATAAGGAAATCCACTGCCACCACCCCACTTGAGGATTATGAGTACTACCGAGACCGTTTACAGGAGACCCTGGATCAACTACTTTCATTGGACAGTGATATCCGGGATCTTCTAGAGGACAAGGAGTACACAACTGATGTGGAGGTGGCTGAAGAGTACATCGACTTAGCCAAGTGAGCACTGCTGAAGGCCAAGCGGGAGGTAGAGAACCGACTCGTCTCCACAGGAGAGAAGCCTAACTTTGATCATTCTGTTGTATTTACAATTCCCCAGCTTTTATCATATTTTTCATAGCAGTTTTTCACTTAGCGTTCTATGCTATTTATGTTTCCACTACAGACCATTCTTGCTTGCATTAATGTATGCCTTTCACATGATGACCACGAGATGGTTGAAACATGTAGTGAATAAGAAATAATTAAATGTTCTCTTTGTAGTTACGAATTTGTGTTCAGACCGTTTATTTATAACCTGTTTCCTTGGATGCTTAATCTTAATATCTGTATGCAGATACTGTACTGTTTCTGTAATCTGGATACTAATCTAACAGTTAATCTAGCAGCATAATCATGGTAGACAGCTAAGTCAGATTAGATAGAGTCTTCACTGTACTGTGGCTCTCCCTGACCCTGGTGACAAAATTATTTTAACCAGTTTGTTGCAGTGTCATAATGCAGGCATGCCTGTCAATACGCACTGCTTTCCAGATGATGATAATGGTGAGCACTGGATGCTGTAGCATATTCTATATTTATAGTCAGTGCTTGAGGTGGAATGAAAATAGAACCGGGATGCTTTTAAGCCATTTAGAAAAGAACCGGGATACCATCCCGCCCCACCTCAAGCCCTGGCTATTGATGGACTTCAAAAAAACCTATAATTCAGTTAAGAGGAAAGTATTGTACATTATCCTGATAGAGTTTGGGGTACCTGTGAAATTAGTCAGGCTGATTAAAATGTGTTTAAATGAAATGTATTGTAAGGTCCAAATAGGTAAACATTTGTCTGATAATTTTCCTATCCACAATGGGCTAAAACAAGGAGATGCTATGTTGCCACTGGTTTTCAACTTTGCTTTAGAATATGCCATTAGGAAGGTCCAGGAATACCAGGTGGACTGAAATCAAATGGGGCATATCAGCTGCTTGTCTGTGCTGATGATGGGAATCTGTTGGGTGATAATATAGATAAGAAAAACACACTTTAAATGGTGCTAGTGAGTAGGTTGGTCCAGAAGTAAACGCAGAGAAAATTAAGTATATGTTGCTGTCTCATCACCAGAATGCAAGGCCAAATCATGACATAAAGACTAACTTAGAGTGTATCAAATTTTTAGGCCTAAATATTGATAATAGGCTGTGTTGGAAGAATCATATTGATTACCTTGTTACTAAATTGAGTTCTTCTTGCTTTATTATGAGAACAGTTAAGCCTATGATATCATTAAGTAGCTTAAGAATGATTTATTTTGCTTATATACATTCTGTGATGACATATGGAATTATCTTCTGGGGTAGTCCTTCCTACATGACAAAACTTTTTATGATCCAAAAGAAAGTTATAAGTATTATGGTGGGATTAAAGAAAAGAGATTCATGTAGAGACTCTTTCAAGGAAATGAAAATTCTGCCTTTGTGTTCTCAATACATATATTCCTTAATTCAACACAGTATAAAGAACATACATTTGTTTACAAGAAATACAGAGGTTCATAATATTGGTACCAGACAGAATGTTAACCTATTTCCACCGAGTACCTCTCTTACTAAAGTTCAAAAGGGTGCATATTATTCAGGTATAAAAATCTACAATCATCTGCCTAAAGAGCTGAAACAATTATCTAATAACCAGGAATCCTTTGAATGTTCTCTAAAAAGGTTTTTACATGCTAACTCTTTTTATGCATTAAATGAATATTTTAATTACAAATGTACATAAATTTGAATGTTTTAATGCTGTATTTTAATATAGTTGGTATGGGAGATGTGAGGGGTTGTATTGTGGTTACTTGTGACTTATGTCTGTTAATCAGGATATTATCTTTTTGCCTCGTATTGTTGAATGTGTTAGATAGTTAATGTGGGTGATCTTCGTTGTGTGGCTTGTGTGACTTTGTGTATGTGTTTGGTGACTGTTTCCACCTCCTGGGTGTGTTGCCTGTATGGATGTTTATGGAAAGTGGAAAATGTGTATGTATGTATATGACTAGTCCTGTATCAATGTATTTTGATTTATGGGAAAATGAAATAAAGAAAGCATTTATTTCAGTTAATTTGGGTAATTTGAGTGAAATTGTATTAATTTTAAGTATTTATAGTAATGCTCTTTTTAAATTTTGTTTAGTAATTATAATTGTAATAAGTTTTTTTTATTCTATTGTCTATGTTAGTTGACTAGTGTGTGTGATTTTGGTTGTGTGACTTATGTAATTTATTATACGTATACATCTATTATCAAAGGGACTATTTCCACATCCTAGGTTTTTTACCTGTATGGATATATGGAAAATAAAGGAAATGAATGAATGAATAGGTAACAGATGTTTTGGAAATGTGTCACAGTTCAGATATTTGGGTACAACTATAACATATCAAAACCTGCAGAAAGCAGTCTTCTGGGATTTGGCTCCATGTATATGTGATACACGGTGCCAAATCCCAGAAGACTGCTTTCTTTATAGTCACCGCCGTGAAAGCCTCAAATCTTACATATCAAAACCAGATTCAGGAGGAAATTAAGAGGAAAGTGAATTCAGATAATGCCTGCTACCATTTAGTCCAGAACCTTTTGTCTTCTTGTCTGCTGTCTAAAAACGTAAAAATTAGAATGTACAAAACTATAGTTTTGCCTGTGATTATTTCTTCTATTGTTGCATGTGTATCCATTGCCATTGACACATTTTTATTGAGATGTTGCATGGCAACATCCCTCTCTTCTAGCCCCAGCACTCCAGCTTTCAGGCATTATGTCACAATATGAAGCCCGGATAGCTCAGTGGGTATAGTGACTATGCTACTGGCTAGATGACTGAGAAAGCATGGTTTGACTTCAGTCGGGAACAAGAGATTTTTCTCTTCTTCTTTGCCTCCAGACTGGCTCTGGGGTCCACCCAGTCCCTGTTCAGAGGGTACTGTGGACTGTTTCCCCAGAGGTAAAGCAACAAGTCCTGAGGTTAAGAATGGTGGAGCTGTATCTCTGCTCCACTATACCTTTGTGGCACAGTACTTAATTATATAATTAAAAACGGATAACTTCACCTTTATTCTTACCTTTTTGTATGTAAAATGCAGAACATTTATGTATCTAATAATTGACGTGGTGACTGAAATTTTTTTGGTGTTATCAATCAAGAAGAAAAGGTATCATGGATAGTGCAGGACTGCAGTTTATACAGGGAAGAGAAATTAAAAATACTGACATCAGTGCATAGGAGCATGTCATCCATCCTGCTTTATCTTTTGATCTCTTGCATTTTTCACAGACGAACATGTTTTAGCATCTAGCCAGACACATTTTGTTCTTTAAGATGTCTTCTGTTCACAGGTTTCATGGAGCAGACATGTAATGTTACCTGAATTGGTACCATGATAAATCTATATACTAAATCATATATAAAGTGAGAGGTGACATTGTGCAGTGAATGCAGTCATTACAGATACATATTTAGTTCTTGNTATACACGGTGCCAAATCCCAGAAGACTGCTTTCTTCATATTTAGTTCTTATTTTGTTATTGTGTCTTGTCTTTTTTAATTGAAAATGATGGAAGTAGACAGAGGTGGGATGCATTATGTTGTTGTAATTATTTTTTATTTGTGGTTTATGTAACAGCAGTATAGCTCAGACTATGGATAATAAAATGGTGGAGTAATTAGTGAGTAATGAATTGGAAGGAATGTGGATGTAGCTGACAGCGTAATTTGAGTTACCATCCTAGCATTTGCGTAGAGGAGCTAAGGAACCTCAGTAAGGCTAGTAATTCTCCAGGCTGAGATTTGAACTCAAGACCTCCCACATGTAAAGCATCAGATATGTTTGGAATTTTGTTGTTAGGGAATGAGTTCTTGGTTTTTGTAGTGGGTCTGTTCAATCAAGTCTATTGAAAAGTTAAGTAGAAAATATAAGTTCATTTGACTTTATCAGTTTACAGTGATGTGTTAGTACATGCCCATGGGTGCAGCATGCCTAACACCACACTGTTTACAATGTAAATTCCAGTACCCCTAGTTAAAATCTGGTTGCTAGTGCTGTAGCAGTGGGAGATTTAAATCTTCTGTTCCCAGACAATAAAGGTTAAAAGATTGTCTTGTTTCTTCAGTTAATAGCATGAATCCATGCAAAAGATGAATGATTTGACTGTAATGTGATGGCTGTATCTTTGCAGTTCTGAGTCTACAGTGTCATCCGTTGCAAATCCTCCATCCGCACAGCCGACTGCTGCGAATATTGTGGATGCAGAGTCAACTCTTCTCATGGGGGAAGAGTACAACAAAATAGTGCAGAATATCATGGATATGGGGTATGACAGAGACCAGGTAAAGTTGCACATATGTTCAGTTAAGAGTGAAAAATACAGAGAATCCCCAATTTAATGTCATTGGGGAGTAGTAGATTTGAACACTGAACTGAGGAGAAACTTAAGTGAAAGTAAATTAATGCTGGTGTTATTGATTTTGTATCACTAAAATCAAATGTTGAATGACAGGAAAATTAGGGAACAGGAGATATGGGTTCCACTGTACAAATTATTATATCACCTTTTAAACCGGATGAAAATTGTTGTCCCTCAAGACAGGTTGGAAAATATATGTACTTTCTGTGACTTCATTTGATAATGTGTTGAATATGTAGAGGCCAGTTCATGCTCAGTTCTTGAGCCTTATAAGGGCCCTTTCATCTGCCTTCAGGCAAACCAAATTTCACATCTAAATAATCCTATTATTAATTTTGTGAATATTTATAATGTTTATCAATATTTGGAGCAGATATTGGCCCACCATCTGTAACCACAGATTCCCGTAAGGGCAGTCCCTTGTCCAGTGGTCATTTCACTACACTACCAATGCTGTCTACATTCACCTCTTCTTTTGTCTTCTTTTTTTTGTCACTGAACTGAAAACTGACTTAGTACTCAGACTCACTATGTACATCACTTTTCTCAGTACTCACATGTCTGCCCTGCACTGACTCACTGACATGTCCGCAGTACAGCTGAACTGAACTCAGGAGAACTTGTACAGTTTCTATTACAGGCACGTCACCTTTTGGGAAATTTCTAGTGACTTCTGACATCAACCTTTGTCAGCTCAGTGGTTCCTCAAGCAATTGGAAGGGGTAGAGTTTCAATATTTTGATCAAACAAGAGTCTCACAGGTTAGGCCATGTGACTCCACCACTCCTCACTCCCATGTCATAGTTCCCCCTCAGGTCTGCCTGCCCCAAGTAGCCCCTATGCATGGTGCCAGTCTGTCAAGTGTAATACCATCTTTGCCTAGGATGTCATTGGATCTGGGTGACCACCTTGTAAAAGCCTACCCTGGGTGGCTGTAGCTTATTGTACGTTATGAGACTTTAATGCTGAGATTCACTCTATAGTGGCTGTTCAAGCACACAGGTATACTAGTGGCCAGTATGCTCTGAACAGATGGGTCAGATTCTGCCCCTTCCCACCTCTTTTATCCCATCCTCATCCTCCTTGCCTCCTTACCCAGCAAGCTGCAAAATTAGAGTCCCATACAGCAGGTGACTCCTCCCATCGGTGTTGGTGGTACAGCCAGACTTCCTGGAATCTCAGAGAGCTGTCTAAGGTGGTTATGTGGAACATTTGTCCTGTTGCTGGTTACCTTCATACATTAACAGGCATACTGATGGGTCTCATGCAGCTTTACCAGGGGATCTGTCATGTAATCTATGGGCTTCTCTTTATTGGGAGGAGTCCCAAACATCGGGTCACAGAGCAGGTGTGGCAGTGTCCTAAATGTCATGCCATGGTCTCATGAGTCAGTGCTCCATAGACCAGGAGGAAGATAGGCAGTCCCTTAGCCAAATCTATCTCATGTGTCAAAATGACCTTTCTGAGTTACTCCTCCATTTTCTTCACCTGTTACTCCACCATTCTACCTAGTTGTGGATGCAGAGGGTTAGTGTACATCTTGTAGATTTTTGCAGTTGCCATAACATCTGTAAACCTGATTCAGGGTGAAATTAAGAGGAGAGTGAACTCGGGTAGTGCTTGATACCGTTCAGTCCAGAACCTTTTTTCTTCTCGTCTGCAGTCTAAAAATATATAAAAAATACAATATACAAACTATAATTTTGCCTGTGGTTCTTTATGGGTGTGAAACTTGGTCTCTTGACATTAAGGGAGGAACATAGACTGAGGGTGTTTGAGAACAACGTGCTGAGGAGAATATTTGGACCGAAGAGAGATGAAGTAGTGGGAAACTGCAATTATGAGGAGCCTCATAACTTGTATTCTTCTCCAAGTGTAATTAGAATGATCAAGTAAAGAAGGATGAGATGGGCAGGTCATATAGCACAAATGGGGGAGAATTCAATTCAGTTCTTTATTATTAATGTGCCGAGTCAACAGCCGCAAGGCCAATTACAGACACAACACAGTGCAGAAGAATGAATTACATTCTAGACAAACTTATTAAAAGTCACATACAAATTACAGGAAATAATAATGAATAAAAGTAAAAGTAAACAGACAAATAGCTGATATGGAATGAAACATAAATATTTAATAAAAATACTAACAGTTATACTATATTTAAAATTTGTTTGGGTAGAACATTCCTGGCTCCGAATACGTCAACATCCCTGCAGACAGCATTAGCAGCTGCTGCGCATCTAGCAGAGGGACAATTTTTAAATAAGGAGCAAACATTGAACAATGCAAAATCTCTGATATACCGAGCAGGAACTCGGAGACCAACAATTTCCAGGACAGAAGGGCAGAATTTAGAGCCAAAATAAACTTGAATAAGAAAGAGAGCATCAAGGCGATGTCTCCTAGTACATAAAGTATGTAATTTTAACTCCTCAAGAGCAAGAGAATAATTGTAATGAACTTGAGGAAAGAAACGTTTAAAACAAAGGGCCACAAACCTCTGCTGGATGCGTTCCAGCTTGTTGGCATCAGTTGACGTAATCGAATTCCAGACTACGGACGCATATTCAAGCTCAGACCTAACTAACGTAGTGTACAAACTGAACATACAGTCTAGCGAAGATAAATTGTAGGTAATGTTACGAACTAGACCCAAGGGAACGAATATAGGATATTGGTTGGAAATCCAGAAGGAAAGAGACCACTGGGAAGACCAAGATGTAGGTGGGTTGACAATATTAAAATGGATCTTAGAGGTATATGATGCAATGGTATGGATTGGATTTATGTGGCTCAGGATAGGGACCAGTGGAGGGCTCATGTGAACATGGTAATGAACCTTTGGGTTCCATAAAATGCTGGGAAGTTCTTGAGTAGCTGCACAATTGGTAGCTTCTCAAGAAGGTGTCAGCTCCATGAGTGAGTGATAACATCTGTGGGGGTCATGACTCAATTTTGTCACTGCATTTCCCTGTGTACCTTGAAGCAGCAGAGAATGTCCATCACTGTCAGTGGCCCTTGGTTTGAAATGGTGTAACCCTCCATCCACTTGGTGCAGTAGTCTGTGACAATCAGGAGGTATCGGTTTCTCTCCTCTTGATCTCCAGGAAGGGTCTTGTGAAGTTGATGGTAATCCACTTGAATGGTGCTGCAACATTATGTTGGAGGATCAGGCTCCGATGTAAAGAGACCTTGGCTTGCTGCTCAAATGTCACATTGTTTGCATGACCTCCCATTACCCCTCATATAGCTAATACAAGGGAGTCGGTAAATAGGTCACAAATGGGTATAAAATATAAAACATCTCTATTCAAAACTAGAAAAAACATTTATTTCTAGACATATCCTCCACTAACAGTGATATACTTGTCATATTGCTTTACCAGTGCATTAAAACCCACACCATAAAGGTCTTTTGACTGTTGTCTCAGCCACTTCTGCACCTCCACTTTAGCCTCTTCGTCATTAGTGAAACATTTACCACCAAGGTGGTTTTTAGTGGACCAAACAGATGGAAGTCATTAGGGGCCAATTCCGGGCTGTGAGGTGGATATTCAAGAAGTTCCCACTGTAGTTCTTGAATTCTGTACTGGGTTGCTCAGGCTGGATGGTGTCTGGCATTGTCATGATGAAGCAGTACCCTTCTTGCCAGTTGTCCTGGACATCTTCTGCAAGTTGCACCTTAAAGTTTCAAGAGAACTTCACAGTATGATTCAGAATTCACATTTCACCACTTTTCTGAAAATGGGCTAACATTGCTCCCTGAGAATCCCAAAACACGGTAAGAATAACCTTCCCAGCTGATGGCATAAGGTGAACTGGGATGTTACTGTTGAATTGAAGCATACTTTGATTTGTGTTGGTAATGATGCAGCCATGATACATACCCAGTAACAATCCTTTTAAACATACCTTCTCCTTAATATGTATACACTAAGAGATGTTGCAAGGACAGACCCATTTGGTTCATTTTTACTCGATCCTTCAGTTTTCTGGGCACCCACAATGGGGACACCCTAGTGCAGTTGCAGCACTTTCTATCATTGTCCTCCTGTACATTTAAATCAACTTTTCCACCTGCCACACAGTTGCTTCTGTCACAGTCTCAACATGGTGACATGATCGGGCATCGTCTGCTGCTTTCAAATGTCCTTGAGAGAATTTCTCTACCCAGTTGTGAACGCAACAAACCCTTCCCATCATAAACAGGAAACATTTCTTTATGAATGTCCTTTGCATTGAATCCTTTTGCTCACAAAAACTGCACACCAGAACGCTGCTCTTCACTTCACTGCTCAAGCACACTCACTATTTTGACTACTGAAACCAATCTCTGAACTATAATTGTCGCTGAGACACTGGAGCCATGCGTTGGGAGCCACCTATAACTGTCGCAGCTGTAGGCACGCATTGCACTACTTTACTACCACTGTACACTCGCGCAGGGTTAAGGTGGACGCAGCTGCTCACCAAGAGTCGCCTTGTAGCAACTCCAAAGAATCAGGTGGAGACATAGCCTCACCTTTGGTTGTTGGAACGACTCTTATGTTCTGAAGTATGATGTCTTGGGCGCCACTCAGTTGGGAACCAGAAACTTTCTTAAGGTCTTTACTTGGGCCTTAGTTTCAGCAAGGCAGTCAATAAAACCAACAACAAACTCACAAACACTTATACTATATGGTAATTTATGAAATTACATTATTAATAATACTTTTAATTAATTTTTTTAATTGCTAGTGGGGTGGGACTAAGTCCCTTGTACTGCGGCCACCTCTGGCCTATTGTACCAGCCCCAGATGATAGGTGAGGGTGATTGTGGAGCAATTGGTGGAATGAAGATTGGCAGGGGAAACTGAAATACTCTGAGAAAACCTGCCCCAGCACCACTTTGTCCACCACAAATCCCACTTGACCAGACCC